GATGCAGTTCGAGCTTGAAGGCAGACAAATAGAGCTGAAAGGTGATCCAGCAATGTGTAAAAACGTCGTCAGCCTAAAATCCTTACTTAAGACCACGGAGGTAGAGTTCTGTGCCGTAGTTTTGGTCAATGAACCTGCCAAACTGTCGGGAACACTTTCAGGTTCGATAGATGACGTCCTCGGGCAGCATACGGAGGTATTCCGGGAGCCACAGGGGCTGCCACCACGCCGCTCCACGGACCATCGCATTGAGCTAATTCCCGGAGCACAGCCTGTGTCAGTTCGGCCATACCGATATGGACACCTACAGAAAGACGAGATTGAGAGGCTTGTAGAGGAAATGCTTCAGGCAGGTGTTATTCAACCCAGTTCTAGCCCCTTTTCAAGCCCAGTCTTGTTGGTCAAAAAGAAGGATGGTAGCTGGCGGTTTTGTGTGGATTACAGAGAGTTGAACAAGTCAACGGTACCCGATAAATATCCAATTCCGGTAATACAAGAGATGTTAGACGAATTAGCGGGAGCTATAGTTTTCTCCAAAATAGACTTACGCTCCGGCTACCATCAGATTCGGGTGGCTGCCCCGGACGTGCATAAGACTGCTTTCCGCACTCATAGCGGGCATTATGAATTTTTGGTGATGCCGTTCGGACTGACAAATGCCCCGGCTACCTTTCAGGCCGCCATGAACGATTTATTCAGGCCTTTCTTGCGGAAATTTGTCTTGGTATTTTTTGATGATATTTTAATATACAGCAAATCGTGGCAGGCACACCGGGAACAATTGGATTTGGTTTTAAGCCTCTTGGAGAAGAATCAATTCCGAGCCAATAGGAAGAAGTGTGCATTCGGGCTGCCTCAGGTTGAGTACTTGGGACACATTATTTCTCCAGATGGGGTAGCCATGGATCCGGCTAAAGTAAGCGCAGTGGTGGATTGGCCGACTCCGAATTCTGTCCGTGAGGTTCGGGGATTTCTAGGATTAACCGGATATTATCGAAGATTTGTGAAAGAATATGGACTGATCGCCCGACCACTCACGAACTTGTTAAAAAAAGAAGCGATAGCTCGGTTGCAATGGTCCCCAGAGGCCGAGAAGGCATTCCAACGGCTTAAAAAGGCCTTGACAGAGGCACCCGTGTTAGCTATGCCACAATTTGATAAGCAGTTCGTGGTAGAGTGTGACGCTTCGGGAACTGGGGTTGGAGCGGTACTGATGCAGGAACGGAGACCTGTTGCTTATTTTAGCAAATCATTGGCGGACAGGACCCTTTCCAGATCAGCTTACGAGCGAGAGATGATGGGGTTAGCTTTTGCAGTGCAGCATTGGCGGCCATATTTAATCGGAAGGAAATTTGTTGTGCGGACAGATCATCGCAGCCTCAAACACTTGCTCACCCAGCGCATAGCAACTCCTTCCCAGCAGGTTTGGGTTGCAAAATTATTGGGCTATGATTTCGAGATTGAATATAAAACAGGAGCTTCCAATTCGGCGGCAGACGCGTTATCTCGGAAGGGGGATAAGTTAGACCTCGCCGCAGTTAGCATACCGGAATGGGTAGGGCTGGCAGATATTGAGGAAGAGCAACTCAAAAATAAAGATTTACAGGATACTTCGTATTATACAAGCACTGGCTGACAATCCGGCTCGTGTTTTCGGATATGAGCTGATCGGGAATAGGCTGTTTTTTAAGGGACGTTTGGTCCTTGCTGAAGACTCAAAATGGATTCCTCGCCTACTGGAGGAATTCCACGACACACCCACCAGAGGCCACGCGGGCGCATACCGGACATATAGAAGGCTGGCGGCGAACGTGTTTTGGAAGGGAATGTTCCGTCAGGTTCAAGCCTATGTTGCTCAATGTTTGGTATGTCAAAAGGCAAAATATGAGGCAATGTCCCCGGCCGGATTGCTGCAGCCTTTGCCGGTTCCTAGCCTGATTTGGGAAGACATCTCAATGGATTTCATCACTTGCTTGCCTAAATCGCAGGGGTGCACATCTATTTTGGTGGTTGTAGATCGTTTGTCCAAATATGGGCATTTTATTGCCCTTAAACCCCCGATCACTGCACGATCAGTGGCTGAGGCGTTCTCCAGAGAGGTGGTAAGGTTACACGGCATTCCACGTTCCATTGTTAGTGATCGGGACTCCCTATTCATAAGTGCATTCTGGAAGGAACTGTTCTCCTTGTCAGGTACCCAATTAAAATTTAGCTCCGCGTATCATCCGGAGACAGATGGACAGACGGAGGTTATGAACCGGGTGCTGGAAACATATTTACGGTGCTTCACATGTGAGCAGCCGCGGCTGTGGGTACGTTGGCTGCCATGGGCTGAATACTCATATAATACGGCGTTTCAAACATCAGCAAGGATCTCACCATTTGAGGTGGTTTACGGTCGGCCTCCACCCACCATTCGCAGATTTCTACTTGGCGAGAGCACCGTGGCAGCAGTGGCAGAAGTACTTGGGAGTAGGGATGTTATGATAAAGCGATTAAAAGACAATCTACAAAAGGCCCAACAGTGCATGGTAACCCAAGCAAATAAACACCGGCGCGACATCGACTTCCAGGTAGGAGATAAAGTCTTTTTGAAGGTTAGACCTCACCGGCAGACTTCCCTATTCCCGCAGCCTTACCATAAGCTATCTGCCAAATTTTATGGGCCGTTTTTTATTGAAGCACGTATCGGGCCGACAGCTTACCGCTTAGCACTTCCATCCAGCAGTCGTATTCACCCAATTTTTCATGTGTCTCAGCTGCGAAAGGTGGTAGGAGATCACCCGGTAGAAAATGAGTTGCCAGAAAGTTTGGAACTTCCAGTCGGTCCAGTGTTCGAGCCTGAAGAAATATTAGCTAGTCGGAGGAAAAATGGCAGGGTAGAGGAGCTGCTAGTTAAATGGGTCGGGCAACCAAGTGATGATGCTTCCTGGATAGATAAAGCAAGTTTTGTGGGCCAGTTTCCAGATTTCAACCTTGAGGACAAGGTTCTTCCAAGGGAGGATGAAGTTGATAGAGAGCAGGTCGCGGAACAGCTAGCGAAGACCCAGGCTGAGGAGCAGCCGAGACCGTTGTTGGTCTATCGAAGGCGCGGACGGGAGGGACCCACTTCCGTGGGCTGAATAATTTAGTAGTCTCCTAGTTATTTAATTATTGCCTTTAGTAGTCTCCTAGTTATTTAATAATTGTCTTATGTTTCCTAGTTTTTATTTAATTATGTTTCCTAGTTTAATTAATAAGGTTTCCTAGTCTGTTTAGAAGTTCTACCCTACGCAGGATGCCTAGGTTATTTATATCTCTCAAAAGGAATGGTTTGGGGGAGGATTATTATTGAGAATAAAGTATTAATTGAGCTTTAAGCTTGGGCAACGGTTAACCCCGTTGATTGTTAATTTTCTGTTCTTATCAGGGTGCAGTAGCTAAAACACCTGCTGCTACCAATATTCAGATGGTTAATGACGCTGGGGTTGCAAAAAATACACCTGCTGCTACTAGGGATGGCAAAGGGGCGGTTCGGGGACGGTTTTACATATAACCGTATCCGCCCCGTTGGGTAATTCTCCTGCCCCATAACCGCGCTATTACCCAACGGGTAATATTTACCCAAACCATAACCGCCCCAACGGGTAACGGGTATAACCGCGGGTAACCACGGGTAACCACGGGTAATCGGTTTATAAAATGAGTCATTAATATTTTCATATAAAAATAATATTTAAAAGGCAAAAAATGGCATCGCATAAACAACTCTAGACTAATACTCCACTTTAAAGTTTCGTATATCTACAAGACAAAAAAGAAGGTAACCTAAATTAATTTGAACCTAAAAATAATCAATATGAAAAATGTTAATCACGAAAAAGTTCTGATAATAATTAAACAGGACTATTAAGATCTATTATGAACTTTCATTCACACTATAGTTAGTCATCAATTATTCATATATACACAATGAAAATGGAAAAATCTTATCTTTTAGTAGTTGTGGGACAAAAAATAGATAAAAATGTACTAAAAATATAGCCAAAAAGAAACGGGGCGGGTACGGGGTGGGTAATGGGGCGGGCATGTATAAAACTGTAACCGCCCCGTTACCCGTAAAATCAAAACGGGTATTCCCCGTCCCATACCCGTTACCCAGTCAATGCGGTTTTCCCCGTTTTGACCGGGGCAGTTCGGTGCGGGTATCTATCGGATCGGTCACAATTGCCATCTCTAGCTGCTACTGGTTTAATCCTGAAAACTGGGCAGATTGAGCCTACGCAAATTGAACCTATGATTGCTCAGCCAAAGCAAACACCTTGGAGCACTTTGTTTAAGGATAACCGTGAGCCTAGACATGGCATTAAACTGAAATATGTCCCTCCCAAATGAGAAATTTTGAACTTTGGGGGTCGAGTTTTGCCCTCTATGGTTGAAATGTGGGGTCATTGTCTAGTGGGACACTTCACCGGAAAATTCCCCGGACTCAAAGAAATTCATGATTTGAAAAATAAGTGGGGTGTGAAATGTCTCATGAGGTCCCACAATAGGGGTTGGATAATTTTCAAATTCCAAAGTGAAGAGGATAGAATGAAGGTATTACATGAGGGACCATACACCGATTTTGGGAAACTCCTAATGCTCAAAATACTCTCGGAAGATTTCTCCTTTGAGTATGAGGAATTTCTAAAGATACCAATTTGGGTTAAATTTCCAAAATTGCCTATGAAGTTATGGAATGATGAAGCTATGAGTGAGGTAGCTTCTATGATTGGGGTCCCAATAACTACGGACAAAATCACTCAAGAGAGGATTAACAATGACTTTGCTAGAGTGTTGATAGAGGTTGATGTTTCAAAGCCACCACCGCTATCCTTTCCTATACGACTACCTTCCCAAAAGGTAATCAAACAAAGTGTGCTATATGAAACTTTTCCTAACTTTTGCTTTCATTGCAAGGAATATGGGCACAACCCTTTTATTTGTACTAAGTTTGCCAAACGGGTTGATGGAGAAAGGGAGAAAGAATAAAATGTTGGAAAAAAATGAGGATTTTGGGTTGGTGGATAGCCGGTCAGTAGCTACTGCTCAGGGATACCCGACCGAGCTTTCCCCTGGCCCGACCGGATCTGTTGCCCAGCTGCCTGATGCTGCTGCCAGCCCGACCGAATGCTGCCCTGACCCGATCGGGTATAAAGAGCAGAATTCTTCCAAGGGGCCTGCCAGCGACGAAATGGCTGCTGCCAGGAAAAAAGCTTTGACAACGCCAACCCAGGGGCTGTCCAAAGATGTTGATAAGGATTCCGAGGCCGGTTTGATAGATACCGAAAGGATTGTGATGGATGAAAAAGATTTGAAGCTAAATGATGTTGTCATCAAATGTGCGGTCATAAACGGTAAGACACTCAAGCTAGCGGTCAAACCATTTTGATAGGAAAGGCCTTACTTTTACGGCCTTACAAACCCGGACCGGGGTCATAATTCGGGTCGGTCTAGGGTCGGTTTCCGGGTTTCGGTTCGGGTTTTCCCACCCCTAGTCTTCAGGGGATGCCGAGAGTTACTAGGGAAAAAGGTGAGGTTTGTTTCGACCCAAAGTTCACTTCTCCTTTCCGAACTTTCTTTGGATTTTAGATTAGTGACTCCTAATATTCTATTGTGGTAGCTTGATTTTTGTGTGAACTTTATTTTGCTCCTATTGTATTTGGGTTCAAAATATTGACTTGGGAGGAGGGAATGTTTGATTTTGTGGTATCCTATATACTGGGATATGCACTTTGCTTGTAACATTGAATTGTTATTTTCTTGAGTGTTAATATATACTTACATTTCATTCAAAAAAAGAAAGTTAATACGGAGTACTTGTTTCATCTGAGGATAAATGTTGTTTTATAGTTGTATGATTTGTATCCTTCTAAAATGAAAAAATTAGTAATATTAGTGTATAAATGATAAATAAGGAATAGATAGTTAAAGGCTTCAAGCGATAAATTTAATTACAGGACAAAGTAAACTGATTAAAATACCAAAAATAATGAGAAGTGGCATTTTTTTTACAAATATTACTCTTTTCTCCTCTAGAACTCCCATGATTACACGATTCAATCACAATATGCGTTCACATATATTCTGTATATATATGGTCTTTTCGTTGTGCACTTCTTTTTCCGCATTCACCACATTTTTAAAAGATATACGCCGTAAATGTTTGTTTTCTAACGGAATTCTGTAAATGTCATTAACAGAGTTGTGGACATGAAAATCACTGACTCATTTGCTATTCTGTTGTGAGGTTAATGACATAAATTGGGAGTGGATGGCGATGGGAATCCGGAGAAGATGAAGCTAAGGCCTAAGGGTTGGTTTGCAACTCCTTTCAAAAAAGCACTTCTCAGCTTTTGGCTTTAAAAAAACACTTATTTTCCCAAACACTACAACTTTTATTTTTCTCAGCTTCCGCGTCAAAAGTGCTTTTACTTTTTCTATTACACAAAAAGCACTTATTTTACCAAACACTACCCACTTTTACTTTTCAAAATCACTTTTTTTTCAAACACTATCAACTTTTATTTAATCGCTTCTCCTCATTTCATTAAAAAAAGCACTTTTTTAAAAGCAGAAGTTGTTGCAAACAAACCCTAAGGGTGATGGGTCTGAATTGCCTTTCATCAACGTTAGTTTGAGTACGTTCATTCAGCCATTCAGGCAGGGTAAGGTAAGGGTGGGCACGGTGCGGGTCGGTTCGGGTAATCGATAAATTTTTAAGAACCGTCGATTCCATTTAGCTTGTCTACACCCTCATTTTGTTTAGAGAACCTAGTACTCATGTGAAGAGGGTTATGAATGTGATAAATGATGCTACAAGGCTTGGTAAAGGTACTATGTGCTTGAAGTGTGGTTAAGCATAATCTTGCTACCTACCATAGATTGACAATTTCCTTGCAAAGTAATGGCTATAGTGTTAGGTTGGATTTCAATTTACTTTATTCTATATATCATTGTTATGGTCATTGTTATAATTCTTGTTGTTTGTTGCAAAGTCCTTGATTACTTCATGATGAAAAAAATCAAAATTGAGTTGGAAAGGACTTTGCTCTTTTTGAGTGTTTGCTTCAGTTAAAAATGGATTTTGCAGGTCATCAACTAGTATGGAGAACAACAATCAATGATATGTGAATCACAATCCTGATTGAGAGAAATTTGATAAATCTTCCGTGAGGCACTCGGACAATGATGTCAATACGGGTGAATACGGGAGAAGAAATGATAAGAAGTAAAGACAAATAATATGATGTATAAATGTAGTAAATTGAAATAATAGATTGAATTGTATATTTGTTATGACACTATCATATATTATTTTTTGTTGCTTCCTATTGTATCACATATATTGGATTTTGTTGCATCGTGTTTCATTTTGTTGCATCTTGTTACTTTTTGTTGTACCATGTTTCTTATTATTGTTTATATTTAGTATTTTGTTGTTTTATGTTGTATCACATGTATTGCATTTTGTTGCACCGTGTTTCATTTTGTTGCATCTTGTTACTTTTTGTTGCGGGACCATATTTATTTTTCTATATCCTTAAAATATAAATATCTAAATAGATTCATATAGAAACACCTAAATGTTAAATTTCATTTAATGAATATGAAAAAAAAATTAGAAACATAAATAAACAATAAAAAACAGAAAATTCAGAAATATGAACAAAAAGAAACAGAGAGAAACCATACGCAACAATAAAAATAAAAATTAAATGATAAAAATAATAATTAATTTTTTAATTATTTCAAGAAACATTACATTTAGGAACTTCCATTTTTTTTTTCAAATTCATTATTTTAATTTTTAATTTTTTATTCTTTGTGTTGATTTTAAGTTTACACTCTCTTAGATCACATTAATTTTTTTAATTTTCTATCTAATATAATTTTTTTATTATATATATTTAATTTAAATTTTTTTCGTTCTCAAGTTCTTCACACTTTTTAATTTTCCAGTTTTTAATAATTTACACTCGTTTTAGTTTACATTAATATAGAGATTTTTTTTTTCAAATTTATGAGTTATGTTATTTTTGCACTTTATACATTATTCTGGTTTTTTTTTAATATTCTAAGATTATAATTATACGTAAATATTAATTTTATATATTTTTTACTTTTCAGTGTTTATATATTCTGATTTTAAAATTTTTTACTCTTTAATAAAAAACATAATTTGTTTTTTGGACGAAAAAATATAATAACTTATTTTGGGAGAAAATTATAATTACTTTTCTTACCTTTTTAATAGTTTCAAAACATTTTATCATTTTACATTTTTAATTCCCATTTTAATTTTAGATCATCAATTTTTATAATCCAATTCACTTTTTTATCATTTTGCAAATATAGATATTTTTAGGTTTTGAGTTTATAATTTTTTCTACTTCTTTATATTTTTTTATAATATTTCCCACTTTTCTTTTATACTAGTACTATTTTAAGTCTACCTAATATTTGTTAACAAAACAAGTTTTCTCAATTTTTAGATCTTTTTAAATTTGTATAGCACTTTTGTATTAGCAGTTTATTTTTATGATTCTTTTGAATTTAGCACTTCTAGTGGATTGAATACAAACAATACGTGTAAAGGTTATATTAAGAAAATACGTGCAAAGTGGCAAAGATGAACAATACGTGCAACGGTTATGTTTTAACGTCGGGTGCATGTCGGTGGCTTAGAGTCTATAACTGAAAAGAAAACTTTGACTGAGCTATTTTTGAAAACAAATTTCAAAAGTGAAAAAAGTGATATTATTTGTACTTTTTGGTCTATTTGTGAAAAATTTCCAAAAAAATACGACTATGCAAACAAAGTTTCTAGTAAGTTATAAAATTCTCCAATTAATTATATATAAATGTAACCATAATATAGTATTTATTCAAAAGAAAAGAATAAGACAACATATTAAATTAGTTAACAAAATATCGAAAAACAAATCTATAAATTAAACAACACACAATCAACTTAATTAAAATGGTAATCATCATTCACAAACCAATTAAAAAGACAGGACCATAAATGCATAAGAAATTAAAGTAGTTACCATACATATTTGTCTACGAAAACAATTTAAAGCTTATTAAATCTCCAAGTATAAGTAAAATTAAGACAATTAAATTAATATGTCACACTTCATTGAGTAAGAGTCTTTATTTACAAAAATATTAAAGAAAGAAATATCGATGCATTTGGAATAGAGAATAGAGGGAAATAGTTTAGGAGTTTAATTATACGGACATGGAAACTAGTTTTAAATTTTTAATAGACTGAGAAGTTTCTTTAATTGGATGTCTTTGTCTAAATACAGGAACATGAAGAGCTTTTCTATGTTGTTAGTATATTATATTATGCTAGTATTAAATATTTTAGAGAGAGTGCTCTTCCTATCCGGCCAGGCCGGACAGGGCCCCTCGTCCACCCACCTCAATTTGAGGTGGTTCCCGGTGCTATTTTTGGCTCAAATTTTTTGGGTATGTTCCTCATCAAGTCTAGTTCATCCATACCAAATTTGAACAAAAATTTCAATTGAGAAGGCCGTCAAATGATTTTTGCAAGAAAACTTGTCCAGAATATACATATAAAACACAGTTATCTAAATCCACCGATTCAAATTAAGTTTTTTTTGTTTTTTTTTTTTTTTTGGCAAAACACTTACCAGATTTTATTAGAAAAAATTAAAAATACAAATTGGGGGGGCTAGACCTGACCCAAAATAATTAAAAAAGGACATCAGTAAAACCGAGCAACACTGAATCAGAATAAAGATCTAAGAATAGATAAAGCGAAAGCTGGGAAGACCAAAATAATCTGCATAGTAGGCCTGCCTTACGGGGTTCGGAAGATTTCTAGCCCGATGAAAAATCTGCCACTGAGTTATAGGTTGGGCTGCTAAGTGATGTGCAGTCCAATTCCCTTCACGCCTAACCGACCCAAAATTGATCGATTTCCTAAAAGAGGAGAGTAGCATTTCCTTAATCGCATTCATCCATCGTCCTCTTCCTCCTTCCAAAATGGAACTCAAGGCCACGGTCGAGTCACTTTCTACCATAAAATCAGAGAATCCGTTCTGAATAGCATACGTCGTTGCCGTAGTAATGGCGAGGATCTCAGCTTCAACACTCGACGAAGCCGTTAGAGGAAAGGAAATCGCAAAGACAAGCTCACCTACGTTGTTTCTCATAATTGCACCCCCTGCTGCTTGTTGAAATAGGTATGTGGCATCTGTATTGAGCTTGTACCCCTGGTTAGGTTTACACCATTTAATCAATTGAAACCTGAAATTATGAAATCTGAAATTTGGAGAAATCAGATTTTCCTCTCTAAGAATAGTCCCCACCGAGTGTAATTTCATATTAGATAAGCTAGCAGTCCAGGTCTGAGTATAGGTTTTAATCTGAGATATGATACTCTCATAGCTAGGAACCGAACCCCCTTCACCCCCAAATTTGACTCGCATAAATCTTCCAAACATGCCAGCAAATGATGCCAGGCATATTGTGTTTGAAAATATCAGTTAATTTCCTGCTACCCTTGCTCTGAGCCACCAAGTCATAAAGACTTGACGAATTGTCTTAACTGTTGAGGAACATGGAACCTCCAGAATACCCATGAAATATCTCCAAATAGGCCTTACTACATCGCATGAGAAAAAAAGATGATCCATAGTATCTTCTTGCTTTCTGCAAAGAGGACAGATTGATGGCTTTAACACAATATGAAACCTAAGTATATTATCTGTAGTTGGGATGATGTTGTGAAGAATTTTCCATTGAAAAAAGCTTGATCTTCATAGTTTGTTTTGGATGCCAGGCATGAGAAAAAGAGAAGGTACAAGGAGCTCATGTCTAATATATGATATGCTGATTTCAGGTGAATCTGCCATCATCTTCAGGTAACCAGTATATCTCCCCATTTGAGTTAACTTCACATAATGATTCTGCAGTGGAGTTAATTTGACAAATCTGTCTCCAAATATGAGAATCAGTGATCTTAGGAGTTAAATTATCTTCCCTTGGGTACCTAGCCTTGAAAAAATTCTGACCAGAGAGAATTATCCTTTTTCCATTTCCACCATAGCTTGACTGAGAAGGCTTTTGTAAATCTGCCAAAGTTCTGATTCCGAGACCACCCTCATCAGTTGGTAAGCATAGTTTGGACCAGCTTATCCAATGGTATTTCTTCCTGTGATTGGAAGATCCCCAAAAGAAATCTGCCATTTTACTTTCTAAGACTCTAATCACTCTTTTAGGGATAGTAAAATAATGAGAAAGTTCCAAAGTAAGAGTTTATTGTTTAATTTATTCCCTAAATAGGAGTTTCTTGTTGACCTCATCCGTTTCTTTTACCAAATTTACCCTCCAACATTAGTTGTCACGTATTACTCCTCACACACATGGACCAGTCCATCCTTTTCAATATCTTCCTTCCA